AAGTCATTCAATGTGGTTCAATTTTCTTTTTAAATTGGAAATAAACCAGTTTTTAAAAAAACATAGTACCTATTAATAATAATAATAATAATAATAATAATAATAATAATAATAATAATAACACTGTCGCCAGGCTCCCCATTGTTCTCGGTGCCCTTGGTTTGGTACCTCCTGATCTCTTGGCGCAGATCAGGAGAGTGCCCGGGTTTTCCACCGGGAGTACAGCCCTTCTGACACTCTGGGTAACGCAGAAGGCTGCAGTGTTGAGGAGCCTTCATATTCTCCGGAAAGTTCTTGGTTCTTGGTGGGTTCGACTAGGCAGCGTTTCCTGGAAGAAGTCCCATTCGCTGTCTGGGCTGCGTGTAGACGGGGCAAGGGCCCTGGGCTGTTGACGAGCCTTACCAGCCTGACTGTGCCAGGATCACCCGAACCCTCTCTGCTGCATACAATCTTTAATCTGTAAAACATAATAATAACGTGGGCCCTGATCTGATGATGAGCCTTACCAGCCTGACTGTGCCAGGATCACCCGAACCCTCTCTGCTGCATACTATCTTTAATCTGTAAAACATAATAAGACACTTGTATTTCGAGTTACTCCATGCTTGATGCATCACAATCACATAGAAAGAGTTAAGAGCTGTTGAAAGAGGTAGGTCTTGAGATGACTTCTGAAAGATTGGTTCTGGAAGGGTGTTCCACGCTGATGACGCTGCATGTGAGAAGGAACGCTAGCCATATCTAACAGTCTTGATGTTGGGGATGCGACATAGAAGCTTGGAATCCGAGCGTAGGGATCGAGGAGGAGAGTAGATGGGCAGCAGGTCTTGTAGATAGCCTGGAGCATCGCCGGACAGACACTGGTGATCTAAGCAGAGGACCTTGACAGTAATCCTGTGATGCACTGGAAGCCAGTGTAGATCCCTCAAGACCGGGGCAATATGGTCGTGCTTACTGGCGAGTGACACAATCCTGGCGGTCGTATTCTGTACGCACTGGAGTTATTTAGCTGCACAGCACGGTCTCCAACAAGGAGCCTGTTGCAAAAGTCGATCCTTGTCGTGACTAGGGACAGTACAGGAATGATGGTTGATTCTTTGGTAAAATATTTCCGGATGTTGCAGATGTTCCTCAACTGTAGAAAACACATCTTGGTTATTTGACTGATCTGACTATCCATGGAGAGGTCCGAGTCCAAGATTACACCTAAGTCTTTGACGCTCTCTGACACTGGTACCTCAGTATCTCCAATAACCAAGATAGTGAGTCCGGACTCTAAACGCCTTTAATTTTGGTCCAACCACAACACACTCCGTTTGTTTTCAGCATTCAACTTGAGCTTGTTGGTCGACATCTATTTCTGTATGTCATGGCAGCAGTTTGTCATACCTTGAGCTGCCCGCCGTGCTTCAGATTGATTAGGCTTGAAGAGTGACGCCAGTTGAGTTTCATCTGCATATACATGTAGATGCCTTTTGATCTCATGTACACGACTGAATGAGCCAAGTGCCTTTGTGTACAGTGTGAATAGAACAGGACCAAAAACCGACCCCCGTGGCACACCGCTTGACAGATTCACTGGAGCTGAGTAGACGCTATTCGCTATATACCGATTGATACTGATTTGACAGATAGGATTCGAACCAGGACCATACACTACCATTGAGAAAGAAGTCATCCTTGAGTCGCCTGAGTAGCATCTGGTGGTATATGGTGTCAAAGGCCGCACTCAAATCTAACAGCACCAAGAGGACAACATTACCACAGTCAATACCACACCTAAGATCAATAGGGCTGTCTTCGTACTGTGTTCAGGACGGTATGCCGATTAGAAAGGCTGTACAAATCGTGATGCTCAAGATGTTCTGCCAATCGTTTGTCGACACCTCTCTCAATCACCTTGGAGATCAACGACAGGTTTGAGACTGGCCTGTAGTTCTGTAACCCATCCTTGTCTAGAGTGGATTTCTTCAGTAATGGTTTCACTATTGCCTTCTTGAGTGTTGGTTGGACTATTCCTGTCCTCAATGGTGGGATAATTTCTCTGATGTTTGTCATATGTCCTTGAAACAGGGTGATCAAAGGCTGATACATCTTCCTGCAACAGGGCAGCTCCAGCACTAATGTCACTAGCATGTATTTGTAATTTGAAATTGTTTTTCAATATCTGGTGCCTGAAGAACATTAGAATTCGTGAGATTGGCCTTTCTCCAAAGCACCCTGACAAATGCTGTCTCAAAAAATTTCACTCTTTTACAAAGCAAATTAGTGAGAGGTCCCGCCACAAGTGCGAAAATTCTACAAAACATACTATGGTAACCAGCCATTCCCAGAACTGTCATAAGTTGGCTTTTGTTTGGGGGAACTTGTAATTTTGAAATGGATTGCACCTTCGGCTGTATCTGACCTTGACATGACCTAAACATTGTACATGTGCTTGAGCAATTTCGCTGAAACCACAGTCAGCTTGACTTCAGTAAGTCTTTTGGAGAAAGCACGTTCAGGTGTTCCACCCATTGCATGGAATGGATGTTGGTATTATCGCTGTAGGCGTCCAGATTGCCAAATGTCATTCATCACGTACTGGAAGGTGGTTGAAGTGGTCTTCAGGTCAAATAGCAGGACTTTTTTTATAACGTCCATCTTGAGTCACAAAAGCTGAAACCCGCTTGGCCCACTTTGTCAATGGAATCCTTTCATTACGTCAAAGTTGCTGACGTACGTAGTGAACAGAAGTAAGCTGCTGACCTTTCAGCTTGTTTTCATTGGGTCAGCTCGTCCGAAATGCCTGTTTCAAAGGTCGAGCGTCACCGACATCATCCTGACACACTAAATCTGTACGGCCAAATAACTCTGAAGTTTGACCTTTTTGCTAAGGTGGCAAATAACATAGCCTAAGTTAGCTAACATTTCAGACTTGCGTAGATTAAGGCAAGCAATATCACCAAACTTTACAAACATATATCATCAGTCTCACAATCTGATACAGTATCTACAGGAGCAACAGTGGAGACACACTGAGAAAAGATATGGTCATTTCTTTCATCACACTTTCTATTGACACAACAAAGCTGTGTCTGCTTACGGGGGCCTGTTATTAGAACAACATGGTCAGTATCGCTAACTTTCTTATCAATAACATATGGCCATAGTACCTAGCACGTAGTGGTTGACCAGGGAAATCCAGAAACACCAACACTTTATCGCCAGGTCTAAGGACTTTCTTAATGTAGTTTCATCTTGTCCTGGGATTATTCCAGCTCGCTAGCTTTAAGTGCTTTTAAAGGTCTACGAACAGTATGGCCAAAGACAAGATGAATCAAACACTTTCTTCTGCCAAATCATTCCCAATAAACAAGTCCGTACCTTGGGGAGAGTTTCCACATACCCCACCTTAAAGGTCACATGCAACGTAAAACACAACTTAAAACGCAGATTCTGATATATTTCGGTATGGACTTACAGATACAAATCATCAAAAATGCAAATTCAACTTATAAAGTTAAAAAATAACGCGATGAAACCCCGCGAAATCGGAGTTCAAACGACCCAGCGCTTTTGGTGAAAAGTGGTTTCAACAGCTGTGCTGCGCTGCGCTGCGCTGGGATGCGCTCATAGCACATGCGCAGTGAATAGGTTCACGGGATGTCCGGATTATAAGGTCGTGAGCAGGAGTAGTCTAATCAAAACAAATAGTAAATAATCTACTCATTACATAAAAAAACTTTTTAAAAAATCGCATTTCTATGTTTTATGGCCAGGTTTAGGCTGCATGACGTAAACTAAGTCTGCCCCTGTTTGATGAGGTCGAAAAATGATTCACAATTCATCTGGCTAACTGGTTACACCTGTTATATGTTCTTTGCGCTTATTCGGTGTATTTTTGTAACGTACAATGTGATTGATATAACATCAAGTCCGTACCGACCGCCAAACGTTTCTAGCGGCTGAGCCTCGTTTTCTGATTTCAACGATTTCCAGATTTTCGTTTGTCAGATCGACAGACCACTCTGCAAGACGTGTTTCCAAGGATTAGAAGGACATTAGTGTTGCTATATACAAGTGATTAGATGTATCAGATAATACTGATTAATATTTATATATTCAGGACTGGTTATTGTACTAAGTTATGCAATAGGACGGATCCCAGTCAGCAGGAAAAGTGACTGTTGTGTAATCAATGTTTTGGTTTGAATAGCTAGATTTCCTTATATACCCCTGAGGCTGATGATAAGGTACATGTACTTGTATCCCTTTCTCAGATCCTTCTAAAATATTATGTGGGAAGGAACATGGTGAAAGTCTCCAGAACTCCGTATAAAATATATCGCAAGTAACAGGATATGGGACAGAAAGGTGAAATGTTGAACACGATACTACCCTAGAATTTGGCTTTTTCTTCAGATTAAATAGGGAAACCATCTAAAGTAATTCCAGGAGCCTTTTCGATAAATATTTACAGTTCAAAGATGGTAGGGTCATGGATTTGTAGATTCAATTTTGAGTGAGTTAGTGAGTTTAGTTTTCCCCCGCTTTTAGCAATATCTCAGGAATATCACGACAGGACACACCAGAAATGGGCTTGACACATTGTTCCAATCTACAATCGAACCTGGGTCTCCGGCGTGATGAGCGAAAGCTTTAACCACTAAGCTATCCACACCGCACCGTTCCAGGAATGAAGGATGGTAAAATAGATGTAATCTGATTTTACAACAGTTCTTTCAATTCAAATTCAAGTTTTATTAAACAAACTGCAGACTTACTTTTGTTTCTCAGTATATTGGCACATGGAGTACTCATCACTCCGTGACATGAGCATGAAATTACATATTGCTGCTATTGCTGTGATATTATCGGGTTGGGTGTCAGTATCAATATTCCCAAGGTGAAAATGAAATATGATTCCTTGACATGTGTGCAAGGTGGTATAAAGAGACAATTAAAATGCTTTGTAAGATCATGTTTGCAATAAAGATGATTTGAAGAAGAAAGCGTACCTGCCGCAGATCCCGCGAACCCAATGACAGCAGGTGGTATACTGAGAAGAAGACACATGACTCCAGCTACGACTGACGACGCCACAGCTTGTCTTGTTGTACGGCAGGCCAACGTACGCTGATACATCTCCTATACAACAGACATGAAATCAGAACAAATCGCTTGACACTTTATAATTAGTCCTGTTGTCTTCATGTTCCGGAACAAGTTGAATTTCGAAGATCTATCCGAAACCGAATTCTCTCTGAAAGAGTTCGTATCCGAGTTCTGCTTTCTAACACAGTCTTGGCACAAATACCCTAGTTGATGCCTTGTTACGTTATAACGGTACATATAAGTGTAACGTTCTTGGTCATACATGATAAGAGGGAAACTTGAGATTCTGTTGCAGCATGATTTCAAACTGACACGCGAAAGGTAACTCGTACTCGTAGCTCGTACTGAAGGTAATTATCAAATCAGTAAAAGACTAAACAAGATAAATGAAGTATTGGTACATTTCAGTAGCCAAATACGTGGCATCAGCGAGAAGTAACATGACCAACTTATGTTGGTGCCTGGATGTACATACTTTACATGAAGATATTAATAAGACGCTTGGTATAACTGCCCTTCAAATTCAACTAGTGAAAGATGGGTTGCCAAACTAAAACGAGTCAAAAGAAGCACAGAGGGCGACCACTGATGTGACCAGCACCAGCGATGCCCGCCTGGCATGGTTACCAAGTAGAAGACGTCACGGATGTCCCACGTATTACAGTTTAACTGACAGTATAGGGATCTGTAACTGCAGTCATTCTGAAAATGATACACTCCAAAAGACAAATTTTCCACAGTTTTGGAATCTAGATTGCTCAAACCCCCCCGAAAGCTGACTATATATGTCCAAGGATCTTTTGGCCGATTTACTAATTATCCCATGACAAATGAGTCCATTACTACGAGTCAGAACTTAGGTCAAGACAGATGTACATGTTAGGTGGCAGAAACTAAAATGTGTGATTTCTGCAGAACGTTTTGCTGTGTGGGTCCACCAACTTTACTCTAAATGAACACTATATTACCCATGACCCAATACCAAATCAGGTCTCCGAAAGGTACATTGCAAGGGGGAGGATTAAACCTATCCTAACATTTCACAAATGAAGGGTTTCTGAATGTACAGTAATATGTCGGACAGGAAGTGCTTTGCGAACACCTGGAATCAGTTTGTGTTGACGGTCGAGACTAATTATCTAATCTCTGACGTTGACAAGAAGTACCGGGCGTGAAGGAGCTTCGGATGATACATAAAAACCCATTTGACCATCTTTCTGTTCAAGCCTCACTTTGGCAACATTATGTCTGTCAACAATAATATTTTCTAGGTCTCATTAAGAAATCTTACCTGAATCCACGTTGGTGTGTTTTGTTGGCATGTAATGAAGTGCAACTGTGTGAGCTTGATGCCCAAGACTGAACAAGTCCTACCTGCCATGTTGTGCCCCCGAGGATTAGAAGGCCATAACGGTCCAGGAAGTACCCTGTCTGTTGCAGAGTAACTTCCCCTAGCCATGTTTCCTGGATCCTTTGTAATTCCACAGCTTGGTTGGTCATGATGAACGGGGCTGCCACAACCTGGAAAGACATCCGCCATTTAACACTGACATTATTCATTTTGAAAATACAGACTTGCATTGGTTTTACACTTTCTCATTTAACGTTTGTATCTATGATGGATGGAATGAAGACATTATTTGGAAACACATGAAGGCTTCATCCAGCATCATTGCGAACACAGATTTATGCTTCATAACGTATTTATGTGTACCTCAATGGTCTTGTTGTCTTACCAAGCCAACACTTAAGCATATGAGCTGCACAATGTCTGTGTAGGCAACAGACCAGAGGCCGCCAACTAAGGTGTAAGAGACACTGATGACGGCGGATATGACAACAGACAAGGTTTCGTCAAGGTCAAGGATGATAGCCATAGTAGAACCTGAAATATATATGAAATATATATGTATATATATATTCTGCTCCCTGTAACATGTACCTCGAATCTGCCACCTTGGGTACTGACGCTGGTTGTTTATTGCTCAGTCCGCCAGTGAATGACATACCTATATTATAAACACATTTGAAACATATTCGTCATAGAAAGAATATTAGAAATTCAATTAAATAGCAAAGCAGTGACAAATTCTTACCAAGGGCCGACAGAATGGCGGCTGTCCAGAAGAGATCTCCCAGGAACTGTGGTATACACATGAGGGCGCCCATCACTCTGCCGTAGCGGTCTTGGAAAGGGTCCAACATTGTGATGCAATTGTCTCGACGTAAGCGGGGACAAAATAAAATGCCACCTGTAAACAGATAGTGAAACATTGCTCTGACATTTCTGTTATCGGTATTTGAAATGAAACAGGCAAGTTTTGTGTTGTCGGTATTTGAAATGAAACAGGCAAGTTTTGTGAACAGATTGATGATCCGATAAGTGACTGAAGCTTACCAATGATGAGGGAGAGGGAGTAGCCAATTGGCGCTTGCATCCAGGCAAATCCTTTCTTGGCAACGATCTCTGCAGTCCCGTTGATGAAACCTCCGCCAATCCATGTTGCTGAAACAAGGATCAAACAATGTACTTCACAGTGTAGTATCCTAACCTTAACCCAAACCTCCGCCAGTCCATGTTGCTGAAACAAGGATCAAACAATGTACTTCACAGTGTAGTATCCTAACCCTAACCCAAACCTCCGCCAGTCAATGTTGCTGAAACGCAAGGAACAACAAGTGAATGCATGAAATACGGTTTACCCGTGTGATCTGCGCTCATGCTCACATGCAGACACCCGTAAAACAACGTCATCTAAGCTCACATGCAGACATCCGAAACAACGTCATCTAAGCTCACATGCAGACATCCGTAAAACAACGTCATCTAAGCTCACATGCAGATATCCGTAACAACGTCATCTAAGCTCACATGCAGACATCCGTAACAACGTCATCTAAGCTCACATGCAGACATCCGTAAAACAACGTCATCTAAGCTCACATGCAGACATCCATAACAACGTCATCTAAGCTCACATGCAGATATCCGAAACAACGTCATCTAAGCTCACATGCAGACATCCATAACAACGTCATCTAAGCTCACATGCAGACATCCGTAACAACGTCATCTAAGCTCACATGCAGACATCCGTAACAACGTCATCTAAGCTCACATGCAGACATCCGTAACAACGTCATCTAAGCTCACATGCAGACATCCGTAACAACGTCATCTAAGCTCACATGCGGACACCCGTAAAACAACGTCATCTAAGCTCACATGCAGACACCCGTAAAACAACGTCATCTAAGCTCACATGCAGACACCCGTAAAACAACGTCATCTAAGCTCACATGCGGACATCCATAACAACGTCATCTAAGCTCACATACTGACATCCGAAACAACGTCATCTAAGCTCACATGCAGATATCCGAAACAACGTCATCTAAGCTCACATGCAGACATCCGAAACAACGTCATCTAAGCTCACATGCAGACATCCGTAAAACAACGTCATCTAAGCTCACATGCAGACATCCATAACAACGTCATCTAAGCTCACATGCAGATATCCTTAACAACGTCATCTAAGCTCACATGCAGACATCCGAAACAACGTCATCTAAGCTCACATGCAGACATCCGTAACACCTCATCTAAGCTCACATGCAGACATCCGAAACAACGTCATCTAAGCTCACATGCAGACATCCGTAGCAACGTCATCTAAGCTAACATGCGGACATCCGTAACAACGTTATTTAAGCTCACATGCAGACATCCGGAACAACGTCATCTAAGCTCACATGCAGACATCCGTAACAACGTCATCTAAGCTCACATGCAGACATCCGTAACAACGTCATCTAAGCTCACATGCAGACATCCGTAACAACGTCATCTAAGCTCACATGCAGACATCCATAACAACGTCATCTAAGCTCACATGCAGATATCCGTAACAACGTCATCTAAGCTCACATGCAGACATCCGAAACAACGTCATCTAAGCTCACATGCAGACATCCGTAACACCTCATCTAAGCTCACATGCAGACATCCGTAACAACGTCATCTAAGCTCACATGCGGACATCCGGAACAACGTCATCTAAGCTCACATGCGGACATCCGGAACAACGTCATCTAAGCTCACATGCGGACATCCGTATGAACGTCATTTAAGCTCACATGCAGACATCCATAACAACGTCATCTAAGCTCACATGCAGACATCCATAACAACGTCATCTAAGCTCACATATGAACATCCGAAACAACGTCATCTAAGCTCACATGCGGACATCCGTATGAACGTCATTTAAGCTCACATGCAGACATCCGAAACGACGTCATCTAAGCTCACATGCGGACATCCGTATGAACGTCATTTAAGCTCACATGCAGACATCCGGAACAACGCCATCTAAGCTCACATGCGGACATCCGTATCAACGTCATCTAAGCTCACATGCAGACATTCGGAACAACGTCATCTAAGCTCACATGCTGACGTCTGTAAGAACGTCATCTAAGCTCACATGCGGACATCCGTATGAACGTCATCTAAGCTCACATGAAGACATCCGTAACAACGCCATCTAAGCTCACATGCAGACATCCGTAAAAACGCCATGTAAGCTCACAATGCAGACGTCTGTAAAAACGTCATCTAAGCTCACATGCAGACATTCGTATCAATGCTGCTTGTGCAATGTGATTTAATTTATTTAAATTAACTGAAATTGTTCTTTAAGGTTCATCCACTTAAAACTTGAGGGAAATTTGGCCAAGGCGTTTAAGACATATTCCGGTACTATGTTTAAGTATTGTTCAATACTAGTCAAACAATAATTTACCTTCATCTGATTTGCCTGGTATAACTGACTGACTGAGTTTAGTTTTACGCCGATTTTAGCAATATTCCAGCAACATCACGGCGGGAGAGTCCAGAAATAGGCTTCACGCATTATACCTACGTGGGGATTCGTACCCAGTACTTCAGCGTGACGAGCCAACGCTTTAACCACTAGGCTACCTCACCGCTTCGTCTGGTTTAACTAGATATAAGAGATGTAAATGGCAATTGTTTCATATTTCGATTTATTCATGACTACCCAGAGTGACATAATATCAAAACATAACAGGGATGACTTGAATATTCCAACATTTAACTTTCTTTTAATATCCCAGCAGGTACAACCGTCGCTGTACATTTCATAAAGTTTGAGATACAAAGGAACATCCTCTTCTTCAATAAGGGATGACAATCAATTGCGCTACCACTTATTTGAAGTGAAAAAAGGGACAATTGCCACCCTGCTTTGATTGTCTATCTATGCACATCCTGTGAGCAAACTATCAAGCTGCAATATGGAACAACTGTCTGAAAGCTGAATATCCAACTCCACGGGCAACAGATGGTCATTGATGGTCACATAGAGATATTTCTAGATGCCAGGATCTCTTGCTTCAGATGCTGTTCTTGAGTTAATTTCTTGCAAGTGCACAACAGTCTGTAAACTGCCAAGTTGTCAGTGCCTTACCAATGGACTGAAATGCACCGTGACATGTCCAAAGCAGACTTGTGACGACATGGTTCGCGAGGACCATGACATGCCGAAGAGTGACACTGATAATGAAGCTGATGTTTATGATGAGGAACAGTGACTACCACTACACAGTTTCAGAAACTTGAAGGTGCTCTCACTCTTTGAAATTAAAAGAGCTGTCTTCAGAATAAATAAACTGATGAGTTTTCGAAAAAGCTCTTTGAACATTCTTCTTACAAAAGCAGGAAAAAATATGATTTAAAGGTATCAGATAACACAACTTGATATTAATTAAATCGTGTTTTGGCACCATTTTACCTCCCTTTTTTCATTTCCAACATATTTGCTGAACTTTACTCTTGTTTAAAGCTTGGAATTGACATTTTTTGAAAATGTTCTTTTTGGGGGGCGGCCTTCTTGGATTTAGCCTCGTTCTGAGTTTGAGCTACCAAACCGACATGGCCATCATACATTTTCGATATGTAGAGACCATAACCACTTCAAAAAGCATAAAAGTGTTTGGTCCCTCTGAGAGGTACCAGAAAACTGTCTGGCTCATAGCCTTTTTCTCTTAATCCGAACAATTGTGAACAATTTTTTCTGTTATGTGGCAGCGTTAATTATTGTGTAGCAATGTTCCAAAGGTGATACATTTTACATGTGATACACGGCGAGGGGCTCTGGTGTGCTATATATTTAGACTTGTAGAATTTTTCCAGCATCTTTTTTAGGTTTGTAACGGGTGGTACAGTCGCTTTGATTCTACCAGCAAGTGGTCCCCCCACGTAAGAAATAGCGAAAAGTGACAACAAAATAATGATCGTTTTGTTAAACAACTTTTGTATTCGGGTGTCCAAAATTATGAGACAAATCATCAGAGTTTGTTGCATTTATTAGATTTTGTGTTAGTGAGCAATTCATCAGTCTCAAATGAAGTGAAACGGACTAGGTTTTGCGTCTCATCTCACATCACTTCTCAACGACAGGAAGACCCGCATCATCACTATACCCAGGATGCTCTCTGCTGTTTCTTCCGCTGCGTTCGATCCACAGGAGATATTATTGTCATTTCTCGATTACTATAATCACTGCTTTTGAATTATATCACCTTTGAATTTGTACTGCAACTCAATTTTGTATAGTGACACATAGTGATGGCTTTGCATTGATTTGAATTGATTTGGGAACTTAGTTAATTTTAGAATACTCTTGTTTATTTACAGCACATTTCTGTGTTGTTTGTTTGTCTGTTTGTTCCACACCTAGTTCTTGGACGGACTTATTCCCGGAAACGTTTTAGTTCAACTTTAGAAACACACGTAACCATGTTTTTATGATTATGAAAATGGCCATGATGATGATGGTGGTGGTGGTGGTGATAACGGAGGTAGTAATTATACGCATGGCGATTGTTTTACCTGTTATCGTGAACAAGGACATGCCAATACCCATGTTTCTATCAGCCAGTATGACACCAACTATTGTCTTTGAATTTTTCTTTCTCCCAGACACAATCCCGACGACGAGGATGATGATGTAGAAGATTATTACGGAGATGAGGCCGGGGATGTTGACTGCCATCTCGGCACCGTGTTCAGACTGAAAACTAAAGTAAAAACAGGTTTCAAAGCAAAATGTTTCAAACCGGATAACACGCTTTCCATGATAACGACATAAACTGTTTCTATCTCCAAATTCTAAATG